TTTAACTAAAACTAATATTGCACTGTCTGTCACTAAACACTCTTGTATGTATTAGAAAAATATTTCGTTTCGTGTTGTTTATTCCTTTCTACCTTCTATTCATTTAAATAGGTCAGCTAACTTACTTATTTAGTAAAAATTGAGGGCATTTTAAAAACAAATGAAGTACAGTATTCATGTTTTCATTTCTTACCGTATCGTCACCTGCAATATCAGTGATCAAAATTCGATCACGTCCCGCCAAATTAGAGAACTATGTGTCGAAAGAAATGTAAGTATTGTGAGTTTTTAATATAATTTACTTAATTCAAACAGCCCTAAAATAAGATTTAAATCGTAAAATGAGACATGATCAATTATTACTAGTCGGGACGAAAACGAAGCATTATGAGTTGATTCGTTTACTGCCAAAACATCTTTAGATTAAGGTAATTTTTTGATGAGTTGAGTTCTATTACAATTTCTGTCAACGGTCGTATCAATCCGATCGGTTCGACCGGAGTGATACGAGGGCCTCACAGACAACCACGCAGATAACCGACGTGAAACAACGCTTGAGTTGTGTTTCGTCGTGTGAGTGAGGCTACCGGAAACCCAATTACTCCCCCCCCCCTTCCCTAATGCCTGAATCTCCAACAATCCGCAAATTCCTAATCCCTCAAAGGCCGGTAACGCACTTGAAACGCCTCTAGTGTTCCGGTTATCAATGGACGACGCCGATTGCTTACCAATTACCATTAAGTGTTCCGTCTGCTCGTTTACCGGCTTAGCCCCTAAAAAAATCAAGATTGATCCAGAGATTTTAGTATAATGTCGGTTATTGAAGTCGGCAATGAGAAACTTGCTATTGCTCTGCTTCTGAATCTAAAAGGATTTCCCTATAATGTTATATTAGACTAAATAACACTAGGACTAACTAAACTATGGTCATAAAGCCGAAGGCTTGAAGTAGAACTGGGCTGGTCATGTCAGACGAGCGGTGGGCAAAACTTATAAATGAGTGGAGCCCGCTCAACGTCAATAGACGTCGCGGTTTTTTTTAAGGGGGGAAAATTATCGAATGACTGCTCCCGCCTGGGTTATGCCGAAGGGAGTGTCAGACTCTTACTGACTAAAAACCACCCCGTTCCTACACCTGCATTTCGAGACGGAGTCCCGGCAACCAGTTAAGTCCTCCGCGGCTCCGTATCGGAAGTACCTACATAGCATAGTTGCACGGAAGACTAGGTACCAAGACTTAGCTTTGTCTTTAAATATAAGTACTTAGCTACTATATTCCTTTGTTTTTCAATTGTCATACAATAATAGAGGGATGTTAAGAATAACATAGCTATGACTATAACTCTAAGCATTAAAGAAATCTTTTGCTTAGTAATAGAAATTCTATAGGTAATCAATGTGTAGAAAATTATCAGTCTTGACTACCTTGTTAGTCTTAGTGGTCGCATGTAGTTGGCAATTGAGCATAATGTCTGTTACGTTTTGTTTACGAGTTGGACCATCTACGTTTGTGGCCGGTGCAGTGTGTGGTTTGCTTAGCCCCCTTTTACACTTTATGGGAATCTTACTATTATTACAAATGCGTATGTTTGTGTGTATGTTTGTTAATCACGTCAAAATGTGATGTTGTTGTGTGTTGCACGTGTTCATAGGCCACAGTAACCAGTTACCATCAGAAGAGCTGTGCGATTTTCTTGGCACCGTCATGGTGTAAAAAAGAGAAATGGAATAACACATAGGCTACTTTTTATCTTACTGGAACACGGGGCTGGTCGAAGCTAGTACTCAATAACGTAATTGGTATTCAAATTAATTTCTGTAATTATTCAATTCTGTTTGCTTTTTTTGTCTCGTACTTACCTCTTTTCTTTCCCCTGGTGTTTTCCTAATTACTTTTTGGAGTTGGCTCTGAGTTATATTTAATATCAGAGCAGATGGTAACCGCTCACGTAAGTTTAGCTATCAAGCTACTCTATTTTAATTAGTTTATCGTTTTCTTATAAAATTGTTTACAAGATTAACTTGATTGGTGTACCTACTTACTTAGTTTGTATTTAGTCTGTTCCTCGTTAAGGTAGGTACTTCTTTTTTAAAGCAATTCAAATAGCAATACTTGACATTAAAACTGTGGTACCTATTTCATAACGTGTTTTAGTTTGTTTAATGCACTTAGCAATAAATAATGCAACACATTGATGTATTAATGATGCCCTTACATTAGCTGATTGCAATTCGCACTAAACCTTAACAGTAGGTTAACACGAAAGCGACCGAAGTAGTCCCGTGTTGTACTACCTATGATATTATGGCACCTGGTATATTTGGTATATTTATATAAGATGTCCACCTTGGTCGTGATCAAGAGCCCCAGTGTCACTTGAAAGTAGTTGAGCTTCTCTCAAATATTTCACGTAAGTATTTAAGTCGTGTTTACAATTAAGGATTCTTCCTGCTCTTTCTGTAGTTCCTTCATTTTTGCAAACATTTTATTACACTCACATGCTTTACGCTTGAAAAAGGCCTAAACCTTAACATGCAAATAAAGACTTTGAGTTTAAGTTTAAAATTCTTACAAACCAAATGCATTATCATCGTTATTTTGTCGTTATGGGTAGGTGGAATACGTGTCCTTGCTTCCTATAAAGATCTCCATATTCTTAATTTCTTGATAGGATAGTTATTTTTTATCAGCAAAAATTCAGAAACAATCGTCGTGAATTCTGGGGAAGTAGGTAATGAGAGCTTCTTAGAAAGTAAAAATCGAAGCGTTGATTGTATTTTTGGCAAAAAGGAAACTATCGTGTTAGCAAACGTTGGCATCTGGATATTCAGCGTCAACGAGAGTAATCCACTGTCATCCATTAAAAATACAATACGAGTACTTAAGTTATATTCTACGATCCGACAATTTTCTAGTGATTTAATACATCAAATTGGACTTAGGTATCTCGTTCATGACATTGACTGTAATCTGTGCTTAGGTACGAAAAAAAACAAATAAATACCTCAATGTCGGATATGCACCGTTCATTATTATTGATTACTGTCTGTTTATAATCATGCATCGGAGGCATTTGGCAGTAAAATATTATTATTTCCTTTGACCCTGTTCTTGTTTTATCCAATTATTCTAATTACTTTGTTGAGTAAAAGATTTTAGGACTTTTTCTTCTTCGGTATCGTCATCAGTTGTTGAATTAAGGGGGTTAAACATTGTAGACTTAAGAATGTAGAACGGTAAGCCTCGCACTATAGACAAGAGTTGTAAGTAACACAAGATCAAAATGATTAGGTACTAACTGGTTCTGTTACTACGTATATAAGTGAGCACTCATATCCTTATACGGTAATAAAGTGGGCATTTTTAGCGCAGATTTTCCTCCTTGATGTCCAAAGACCAATCTCTAAATAATGGTTCTTTTCCCTTTTTTTCGGCATCAGGGGCATTCAATTTTTGTTAGGTCAAAGAACAAAGAAGTCCTATTTATAGACATCGTTAGTAGATAGGTATATAGTTGGTGACATTGCCTTCCTCTATCGGCCGATCTATGGCTAACCCGAAGTAATCAAGGTCAATGCTAATATTGGATCACCAGAGGTAAAAAAAGTTCTCCTTTCACCTAATCTAAGTAGTGGACATCTGGCTCAAACTCTCAGAGGGACAAAGCAAACCGTGCACCGGTTTAATGACAACAGTAATCCTACTTTTGCATTTACTTACTAACTATATTCTCATTGAAGTGTATGATAAGTTCATTTTAGTTTAATCTTGTTCAGAGTACATTTACATGTGCGAAGCGAAACACACGTGCTATACATTGTGCCCGGTTATAACGGTTATTTAAGTGTAGTATTTTTTGTTAATATTTTTATGAACACCGGCGTTTTTTCCGGTGTTACTTAAACGTGTGACACCATCCTATCGTTTAGTAACATGAAGTTTGGATTCAGTTTGTTATTAATGGGTATGTAAACAGAAATGTCTTGTTTTGTATGTCTATCGGTATAATTTTTGTCTCTTACGCTCCTAATGCAAGCCAAAAATGGACAAATAAAAAACTTTCATCCTGAAAGTATACAATAACTGATCTACTATCTTACAATTTCTTTTTTGGTCCATAAATTATTTTTTATAGTAAATTCAAACGTTTTTAATTCATGTTTTTCTTTTTAATTATAAAAGTAAGTTACAGGCTTTTGTATGAAGCCGAAAATATTTTTAAAATAATTAAATTGCGCTATTGATTGGTACGATTTAATTCTTTTGCACAATAAAAAACAAATGGCAGACAAAACAAAATATCGAACATTTGGTTGTAGAAAACTACATCTTTGTCCTACTGCTTTTTTACTTGTGTAAAAAGACATGTGTGTTACACATAATGTCGAAGATATTCCCACTATTTTACAAAATAAAAGGTAGACAAGTTTCCCAAAAGAATATAAACAAAACGCTACAGTAAATGTAAACATTTGTGACGCTAATAAAACGTAATACTGAAGACATTGTGTCAAATGTCAATGCCGTATTTGTCAACAATGTCACTTGATTTTGACGTATAACCCAGCTAATTAGAATAGGAAGGATGACACCGATTGTTTCTATCTATTGATTGTCCATAATAATGCAACGTCTAATAATGATCATTAGGAAATGCATTGATAACTTAAATTTTTATTTCTTGCTTTTATGACTGAAAATGTTTACGATAAGAAAGTGTTTGGAGTTACAGAAATAACAATGAAAGGCCTACGCTAATCATGAGTGTAGTTAACGCGTACCTTGCTGGGATGACGTGATTCCCATGTACTTTATAATCCATTGCAATTCAAATTTTTGTTCGCTCAAGGTAGGCAGGCGATCTTTTGTTCATCATAATTACGATTTCTGGTAATATATCAATTAAATTACGAACGTAAATTTAAATTTATGATATAATAACTTGTGTTTGTTTGATTATTAAATAGTTGTGTTATAGTTTTCTTTGTTTGTGATTTTTAGCTGCAATAATGGTCGAGGATCACTCTGCACAAAAGCTCCGTTTGGAAAATTGGATGAGTGACTTGCCTGATCCTATAAAAGACATGCCTTTGATATTTCTTGCCATTCCAGGTAATAATTTTAATTTATTAAGGCTAAAGAATATTTTTAAAATGATAATTATTAATGCTGAGAACTGTTTGCCTTGACCTATAAGTCTATTTACTATGAATATGTAGTGGAGCTGTGGTCAAAGGTCACAAATTATAATGTCATTTGAGTCAGTAGAAGCTTAGAAGTAGATTTCTTGATAATAAAATAGGGTGCTTTATATTTTGCAAATTAAAACAATATTATTAATTCCTATGTGTTGTAAATATTTTCATAAAAAAAAACAATTCATTTTAAATTTCCATTCACACTTGCTAATTAACAGAACTGAATTTTATTATTGTTTTCCCTAAAATGCTTTTTGTCACTATGTTGATTTACAAATGAAGTCAGTTGATTAATAAGTGATTTTTTTTTTAAAATCTGGGTTGACTTATAATTAGCAATACTTTTAGTATGGATACCCCATATTTGCGTATTTGCATCTTTTATAAAACTTCTCTTAAACACACACATGTGGACATGTGGTCCATATAACCGTGATATAAAAATAATATATTATATTATATTTATGGAGTTTTAAAATTCAGTATAACAACAACAAATAAGTTTTGGCTTACTCCATATCATTTATATTTTAAACATTATAATATGAAACACACACCTTTGCCTAATTAACATTGTACCTTTTACTATTAACCCGTTTATCCCCAAGCGTTCACAGTCCACTATCTACATTATAGACCTTATTTCCAATGTTTAGAGACTACTTTTGTATGAACAAATTTAGGTGATGATATTTCAACAGATGATATGATATGATACTGACAGATTTTTACAACACTATCTAATTTTTACTGATCCTGAAATATCTTTAGATAGCCAGAAAGATATTACATAACTAACACTATAATTATTGCAGGAAGCCATGATTCCATGACATACGGTATAACAAGGTCCAGTACAGTTGCTCCCGACGCTGAACCAATCCTCAACCGACTGTACCCATTATTTCGAGGTACGATTTTACGATGGACCATAACGCAGGCCAGTGACACTTGGCAACAACTTCTCATTGGCATTAGGTATCTTTGAAGTAACAGATCATTAAGCACTTTCTAATTACTAATTCTTTTTCCAAATTGCACATTTTTTATGTACTTACACTTTGTATTTTAATTCAAATTGCACATTTTTGTGTACACAATGTTCTAATATGAAAATAAACTAATAACTTTAGTATATCTTTCCGATGGTATTGGATTTTCAATTTTATCTTTCTTTAATAAGGTTGAAAATCGATGAGTACAATACTGGTTGATGTACTAGTCTCTTTTATTTTTTAATCATTTTCAGATATTTTGACCTGAGGTTAGCTACAAAGGCTGGAGATGATAAGTTCTATTTCACTCATGGTCTATATGGAGATGAAATATCTATGGCATTGGGACAGATACGGAAGTTTGTTGATTCACACCCGGGTGAGGTAAGGAACGCTTACTGTTATTTCTTTTTTTCATAATAAAAATTGGATTCTATAGTTGGGTTATTTCCAACTAGTCAAAATCAATACTTTTATCGAAATGTAAAAACGACAGTTTTCTATGAATTTTGTACGAGATTGTGTATTGTGACGTCACGTTTTTTTAGTGTCAACCAGCATACTGATTTCTTAAATATTTTCTGGAGAAATACTAAAATTAAGTTGGTTATAAAATCAATTGTTTTTAAATACTTCATTGTGTTGATTAGTCGCAATAATTTATTTATAATTAACCCATATATCCCCAAGCTGTCACCGGGGACCGCTCTCCACAACTACATTATAGACCTTATTTCCAATGTTTAGAGAGTACTATTGTATGAACATATTAAGGGGATGATTATTTATTTTTTAAGAAAAGTACCCAATTGTTCTTTGCCAAAATGGAAACCGTGTCATGTGTCACAGTAGCCAGTTGCCCAGCCAATATGCCAACAAAATTGCCAATCAAATTATAACAATTATAATACACAAGTATTTTATTTGTTAGGGCTATGTTATCACTACCATATGCTGCCATTGTATATTAAAAAAAACCTTTAGGAGGTAACTATATGTACCTAATGTACGTGACTTGCAAAATTTTGCTGTAACTTTATCACTAGAGAAGTAACCTTTTTGACTCTAGATTATAACTATAAATAAATGTTATAAACATTAAACCCAACGACAATAATTGTAATACGCATTCAACTTGCTTATTTTATTAGGGGTGTTCCAACAGTTTGATATTCACCTTTAATTTGATTTTTTTTATATTTGATGGGCCGACGTTTGACGGCTATCTCGTCTGGTGGTAAAGGAGGCCATACACGCTAGGTTTTGCATGATTAATCACATACACGCTAGGGCTTGCTGTCGGTTATGAATGCACGGCTAAAACCATCATGCAAAACCTAGCGTGTATGGCCACCTTAGAGTTATCGGTGCATCGGTGGTCGATTATGCTTGTCGGTTTTGCATACACATTTATAACCATCATGCATAACCTGGCCTCCTTTATAAGCGATGATGCGGCCTACGATGGAGCACGTCTGCCCATAAGCAACCTATTCACTCGGACCTTGAAGATACCCTTCAGGAAGTACAGACTCTGGCAAAGAATTCCACTCCTTAACTCGAATGCAATTGAGCTTAAAAAAGCAATAAAGTTACGAATTGCCAGTCCAGTGTTTAATTTACAACCGATGATGGATTCTCGACTGCATCGTTGGCCGAGTGGTCGCAATCGCAAGGAGTCTCGGGTTCGATTCCCGGGTCGGGCAAAGTATTACTGGTTTTTTTTTAAATTCTGAGTAGTAGCACAGAATCTGGAACTGTGCTCGGTATATAGCAATAGGCCCACTCCCTAATACATGGGACTCATAACATAAATTGTGAAAAGTGGGTGTTACATTGTACAGTGGTATAATGTGCACCTTTGCCTACCCCTTCGAGGATAAAAGGCGTGATGTTATGTATGATGGATACTTCTTTGTCTGAAACATCACATCACTCAAACAATGCCATGTCGTTAACACAAAGCTTTCACACCTTGCATACTAAACAAGTCTGCTGAATCACGTAACATAAATATGTGGAAATGACTGCACGGTTGGTGCGGTGGCTGGGCAACCGGCTGCCATGCAACGTGTCGCGGGTTCGATTCCCGCACGGAACAACACTTTGTGTGATCCACAAATTGTTGTTTCGGGTCTGGGTGTCATGTGTATGTGAACTTGTATGTTTGTAAACGCACCCACGACACAGGAGAAAATCCTAGTGTGGCGCAACGTTATTTTTAAAAACAAAAAAAAACAAACAAAAATTGTAGGTAGGAAAAGTATTTAGTGTGTTATTATCAGTAAAGCATAGAGTATGAAGGGATCGTCCGTCGTGCATTCCTCTGCTTGCACCTTTAGAGAGTATTAAAAAATAGAAGTTATTGTTTATATTAGAATAGATACAGACTTCAATATTTCATTAGACATGTAACAAGAAAATACGTTGTTTTTTTTTAAGAATTTTATCTTTAAAACGTGTCTATCGTTAATTACATCTTATCGTTGCCCAGTGATTACTAATTATGCGCCTTACTTAATAATTATAATATGTTACCTGCTATGCTATGATCATACTATGTAAACCAAAGAATAAAACAAATCTTTTTTTATGGCATATGCCGAGCAGTAAACGAGCAGACGGATTACCTGATGGTAAGCAATCGGCGTCGCCCGTGGACACCTGGAACACCAGAAGCGTTACAAGTGCGATACCGGCCTTTTGGGGGATAAGGAGTTAGAGGATTGTTGGGGATTCGGGGATTGGGAAGATTGGGGAAGGAGTAAGGGAGCTGGGCCTCCGGTAACCTCACTCACACGACGAAACACAACGCAACCGTAGCTTCACGTCGGTTTTGACTGTGAGGCCGTGGTATCACTCCGGTCGAGGCCATGTTTCGGCCCATTCGTGCCGAAACATGGCTCTCCCACACTTGATGATTGACAAATCTTGATAAGTTTATAGCTTTCTAAATAAGTTGTATCTGTAGTAAAATAATATAAACCGCCTTTAGCGCTCGCCTAACTTAAATGCACAATACTTAGCCCTACTTTCAATCACCTACATACGTACCTACATACATTTGTTAATCCGGTTGGTCAAATATTAACATTTTTTATTTTCATAAATCTCTCCAGGTAGTAATTTTGGACTGCCAGCACTTCTACAAGTTCACTCGTGAAGACCATATGAGGCTGAGGAGGTATCTACTGGACCTCTACGGAGCGCGTCTCGTGCCGCGTCGGATAGACTTGCAGGCTATCACGCTCAACTCACTTAATAGATTGAAGATGCAGGTATGTTGATGTTTTTTATGTATTTTTTTTAAGGGGGGGGAAATCATCGAATGACTGCTACCGCCTGGGTGAGGCGGGAGGGAGTGTCAGACTCTTACTGGCTTAAAACCACCCCGTTCCTTCTCCTGCACGTCGACCCGGAGCCCCGGCAACCCGTTAGGTTCTCCGCGACATGTTTTTTATGTATAGGGCGCAAACAAACAGACAGTTCACCTTATAGTAAGCCATTCGCACTGACATGCAACACCTAAGTCACAAGTGCGTTGCCGGTCTTTGCAGGGAAGGGATTGCGCCTCCGTTGATTTACATTTAAGTCGTTCTACGAGATAGGCCATAAATATTTGAAAATTGAACTGATGGGGGACAGAAAAGGGACGGAAAATTAAGCAAAGGTAGAGATTCTGTAGCTGTAAGCATTGTATGCTGCCAATATTCATAGTTAGGCTTATTAACATATTCTTCTTATTTGCTGTTGCAAAATTACTTCAGCTTAAACTAAAATTGTTCAATTTAATGCGAATATTAGATGTTTCCCTATTATTTACAATCTAGTTCATAACTCCATGATGACCTCAACCTGCAAAAGAACGCAGATTCGATTCACACTGGCTAATTACTATGTACACGTGAAACTATTCGTCTGAAACCGCTTTGTGTTGTACGATAAAATATCAGGAGATATATCGTTATTGATAAATGTGAGGAGTGTGGAACGTAATATAGAATCACGTTTGTACGACACTACTGGATGCAGAAAGCATGGCTCATAGAAATGTCTATTCTCAGAAAGCACGTTTCGCCGAAAACTTTATTGTTAGAAAATATTGTTCGTAGATATCTCGCTCCATAGAAAGCACTAGCCATAGAAATCTTTATTTCTAGACAGCTCGTTTTGCCGAAACCTTTGTTGGTAGAAAATACTATTCGTAGATATTCTGTTCATAGATAGAATGTTTCACCTTGATTCACAGAAAGCAAAGGTAACTATGAATATGCATATGAACAAAATGGAAATAAAGGTATTTGTTTGATTATCCTAGATAAAAAAAAATAAATTGTCATATGAATAAATCTGTTTTGTTTTTTCTGTCTCTGAGAAAAATCCGTAATAATACTATTGTTGGTATGTGTCTATAATACAATTTTAATAATACAAAATTTAAATATACAGTCTTCAGATAATAAGCTCCACTGTCAGTTTCTACGTAGGTTAGGTGATATTCTGATAGAAATAACAACTAAAAATGAAAACAAATATGCAGCTTAGCATTTATGGTCACGTAAACTTAACGTGCACACGCAATTTTATCTCAATTGGTCTAAGATATCTGCTTCAAAATTGAGTTGCTAGATTCCACTTAACACATAATACACAACATTTGTAACGCCACTATATACTACTTAACACATAATACACAACATTTGTAACGCCACTATATACTACTTAACACATAATACACCTGGAACTAGTGGCGATACATTTTTAAATTACCTTAATTTTTACGAACTTGTACAACATGGAACTTGTATTATGTGTTAAGTGGAATCTAGCAACTCAATTTTCAAGGTGAAAAATTCTATCTATGAACAGAATATCTACGAATAGTATTTTCTACCAACAAAGGTTTCGGCAAAACGAGCTGTCTAGGAATAAAGATTTCTATGGCTAGTGCTTTCTATGGAGCGAGATATCTACGAACAATATTTTCTCACAATAAAGTTTTCGGCGAAACGTGCTTTCTGAGAATAGACATTTCTATGAGCCATGCTTTCTGCATCCAGTAGTGTCGTACAAATGTGATTCTATATTACGTTCCACACTCAAATGTGAGACGTGTACATTTTTACACGTTTCGAATATAGACTGTCCTTTTTGATTGTTAAAAAAAGAAATGAAAGATTAAGTACACATAACATCACGCCTTTTATCCCCGAAGGGGTAGGCAGAGGTGCACATTATGCCACTGTACAATGTAACACCCACTTTTCACTATTTATGTTATAAGTCCCATGTAATAGGGGGTGAGCCTATTGCCGGGCACAGTTCCAGACTCCGTGCTACTACCGAGATTTTTTTTTTAAAAACCCAGTAATACTTTGCCCGACCCGGGAATCGAACCCGAGACCCTTTGCCCGGCAGTCGCATTTGCGACCACTCGGCCAATGAGGCAGTGAAAGATTAAGTACCTAATCATTTAATACCTACCTAGAGTAAAGTAAATCTTCGTTAATATCGAGTACTAGAGTAAAATAATATCGTTCTTTTAACGACACCAGTAGCAGGCATGATGTAGATATCTCTTGTATAGGCCTGAGGAAAGCTAGAACTATGATAAGTGAAGACTTTTTTAATAGCTGATTTTTGTTTTTTTTATTTTAAATATGTATTCACATTGTTTTTTTTTTCTTTCTTTAAATAATTTTCTTGCTGTGTGCCTTCTGTTTTTTTTTAATTTTAATTTTGTCTATTCGTGTGAATCTGTAAATGGCTCAATGCTAGGTACAGTAACAGTCGAAATAGTTTATTGCTGATTAAGAAAAGTACCCAATTCCCAATTTAATTACTTAGGTACATTAATTGACCTATTTACGAACTAAACTAGATAGTGTATTGTGTAATTTAACAGCCTCAAGGGAATGCCGAATAGGCATACAAATTAATTAAGTTGGTCAAATGGTTATTAAGTATGATCGATTGAAATTTTTGGTAACTATTATACAGATATAATACAGATGATATTTTTGTATGTCAATGTTTTTTCACAACACAGTGGTAAACAAATTTTTTCCTCTCTCTCTCTCTCTCTCTCTCTCTTTGGTGTTAGTTTATTCTCCGTACCTCAGTTTTCGCAGATTTTCTACTTAAACCCTAAGGTTGACTGGTAGAGAATGCCATATGGCATTAAATTCGCCTTATGTACCATAAACAAATTATGTACCTACATTAAAACCCTAAGGTTGACTGGTAGAGAATGCCATATGGCATTAAGTTCGCCTTATGTACCATAAACAAATTATGTACCTACATTAAAGAATAAATAAATAAAATAAATAAATAAAGTTGGATGTTAATTCAAGTCACCAATTTTTTTAATCTAGATAACTTTACCTGTTTAAACCATGTAGATCATGACTGGGGTACTAACGAGCATGAATCTTCAATATTGTTTTATTATTGTATGTTGTGTTGTATTGTATAACTTATTAATCCCCTAATCTACAAACAAACATAATAATTTTCTATTTATTTTTATTTTCCAGGTGATAGTAGTGTATCGCAACGAGACAGTGAACACGACGGGTGAGTTTTGGCAGCCGCAGATGATGCCGTCACCGTGGCCGCGACAGGACTCCATCACAGGTCTACTGAACTTCCTCACCAACATCAGGAGGAACCCCAGCACTGGCTTCGTCCACCAAGCTGTACTTACACCTACACCCACCTTCATTTTATTACGGTAAGACTTTTATTAATACTAATGTTCCCGTGCGGTTTCGCCCGCACTGCTCATCTCCTATTGATCGTAGCGTGATGTTTAAACTGTCAAACACCAAGCGGTCACCGGTGACCGCGACCTATTGTTCTTTAATTGTGTCTATAAAACCGGAACTCGACGAGTTAATAGCCTATAGCTTTCTTCGATAAATAGACTATCCAACACGTAAGAAATTTTTCAAATCGGACCTGTAGTTCCCGAGGTTAGCTCGTTCAAACAAACAAACTCTTTAGCTTTATATAATAACTAGCTACTTCCGCGTGGTTTCACACGCTCTGCTCAGCTCCTATTGGTCGTAGCGTTCACGCTACCAGAAGGCTTCAGCCTTCTTCGATAAATGTACTATCCAACACAAAAAGAATTATTCAAATCAGACTTGTAGTTACGGAGATTAGCGCGTTTAAACAAACAAACAAAAAAACAATTTTCCGCTTTATACAATAGTATAAGATATAAATATAATATGCAATAGATTTTCATACTAATAATATTTAGATGAGACTTCTCCTGTATCAATGTGTGTTCCTAGGTCATGAGACTTATTAAGTCACACATTAAGACTTGTGTTTGGAAATCGAACTCGCAAGAATTTTTTGTTTTGTATTTTTTTGATTGATTGTCCTGTTCAGGTGCCCTATAGGAATGTTTCAATAGAAATTTTAATTATTATTAGATATTAATATTGTATTCCACATTCATTTTTACACCAGTAATGGTCAAACATGTCGATACTATGCTCACTGCTCATCCGTACGACCTATAATATGCATTCTATGATGTGTTATTTTATCACACGTGTTTTTTCAAATAAATAATATTAGTCTTATTAATTTTAAAATTAAATTATTATTGTCTTTGAAGAAGTTTTACAGCAGCTAGACATCCCTTTACCTTGGCCAATCTTGCAGTTAGTTATCAAATTAGCGCTTGAGTTATCCATATATTGAGTACTTCGGAAGTACTAATATTAATGAACGTTAATATTTTATAACATCAATTTACAGAATGCAATTAAACAATAACGATATCCTAGTTTCCATCCTAATTTCGATTTTAAAATCGTGGGTATACCAACCGTTGTTTTATAGTACCATTAATATCATGTTTCAGGTGGATATCAAGTTTACGCCAGAAATGTGCTGTGCCAGTTATTAATGAGGTGTTGCCCAAGTTGGCCGAGTTCTCCCCGGGCCCGCCCGCACCGCACTTGAAGGCCGGCGCACGTTCCACCGTCAACGTCGTCATCGCAGACTTCGTCGACATGGACGACGCCATATTCCCACGAACCATAATAGACCTTAACATGAAGCTGTTAAGGCATACGGAATTAGTACATTATGGGTAAGGAGCATTTCCATGAAAGCAGGCTTTTTATACTTATGATTAGTTACAATTTAGTTAGCACACCGACCATTGTGGCGGTTGTAATTCTATGTACCTGAAGCTTTTTACGTTTTTACTAAATACAAGATTTTTCTGTGATATTAAATCATCATATTTTTTATACTCTCAGTAATTCAATGTACGTATGTATGTATATACCGCTGTGTACAGAATTGTGGTACAGCGTTATTAATAAGCAAGCAATATTGTACAAGTACAAGTGCCCCAAATAAAAGTATACGTATGTCATATCACATGTATTGTTTTAATTTTAAAATAATAATATTCAATCGCCATCAACTACTCGTTTTACCGAAAACTTTGTTACAGAAGTCGTCAAGCTGTATTCTTTCGCACAGGTCTCTGAACGACCATTGCTTGTGGTCGGGTTCTGTCAGAGCTGGTTGCTCCAAGGACGAGAACAACTTGTCTGACAGTTCATCGGAGATCTCAATGATCCTACATATTTTGTCCAACCGCGCCAAATCATCGAAGGAGTTTGTTAAGTCCGTGATGTGGATAACTTGAGATTTTCTTTCTTTAACTTCGAATGAATTGTTCGAGTCCGTGCCGCTGGTGCTGTCCAGCTTGTCATAGAGGTCGAGCTTGTTTCTTTTCCCGTTCCCACTACTGGTAGTGATCATTGTGTCTTCGGGACTACAGTACCCTGACGTCTCCTCCGGGATTACAATCACTGGTTCCGGGACCAATCTGTTCAAACTGTCCAATATCTGTTTGTTCAAATTCATGCCCCTACGTAATTTACTCGCCACAGCTAACTGATCGCTGTCCATACTAGAAAATTTTACGCTCAAGCCGGATTCGACATCTTTATCTTTTTCACTGTTTTCTAATACAATATTCCGTTTTTTCAGTTCTTCATCTACAATTTGCATGTTGTAATTTTTGTTTTGTAAATATTTGTATAATTCAGAGTATTTTGGCTTGTCTGGTAAATCATGCTCTGGAGCGACTCTAGTTTGTGAGTGAGTGCTACTAGTATCATTCTCAAGAGACAAGTCGTCGTCTTCTGTAGCTGTAATTAGGACTTCATTTTCCTGTATTAAAGCTTTAGCAGGACTAGATTCGACATCAGATACTTCTGGGATATTCTCAGTATACTCTGTAGCATTTGACAAATTCGAATCATTTCCATATTTTTCAAAAAAGTTATTAACAGTGTTAACCACTTGTTTTTGAAAACTTATAGTACTTGAAGATTTAACATTGTCTGACGATATCGAGGGGTTTTCAGTGTTTTGACCATTTATAAACAGACAAAGATTAATGGTTGAATTCTGGTTTATCACCGTTTCTTCATGAGATGGTGCTAAACGCATGCTTTTAATACCGAGACCCTTTTTGACATTCCCACTCATATTGTAATCTGAATTGTTTTCGTTTCCTTCACTAGGGTTGTTACAATTTATTTCTTCTTTGTTACAATCGGCTGCATGCCTCTTCATCACCCTTTTCTTGAAGTCTCCACAAACTTTGTATATTGAGTTACTGGTTGGCGGAACAAATGTTTCGTTATCTACAATTTTGGGATCTTCGCCTACATTATTATCTGTTTTGTCTTCCTCGAGAGTAGTAACAGTATTCTCTTGCTGCAATTTGTTACTGTAGGACTTTTTGAGTAAATCTTCAGTTATGTTTGCCATTTTAGAAAATTCTTTCTTAACATTCTCCAGACGTTCTTGAGCATTCATACAATCTGTCGTCTCCGTCTTTTTGGGTGCAAACGCCATGCAACTGTGAAAGAATGAGCTTCTGTTCGATCGTACAGCAGTTTTCTGTGCGTCGTTATTATCGTTCCAAATTTTGAAGAGCTCGTTTCTCTTTTTGGTGTCCCGGGTGGCAGTGACTGTTGTGGAAAGTGTTCCTGTGTTGTGAGACGCGAGTGGTTTCCTTAACAGCGCCGTGCGAGTGAGTGGCCTCCTCCTTAAAGTGGTCTCCTGCGAGGTGCTGCCACTTACCTTATGTGCTTCGGATACTACTGCGTTATATTCTATCTTGTTACTCTCGGCTTCCAGTAACTCTTGTTTCTTCGTTTTAGCCCGGACGTACGTCGTCTTACAAGGAAGTTTCGATGGTGTAGGTAATTGTCGTTCAGAAAAAAATATGGAATCTAATACTCTGCAGGCATACGAGTACTCGTTTTCATACCAACATATGATTTTAAAGAAGTTTGGCGTCAGTTCTAGACTTGAGTCTGCGTCGAGGATACACGAATGACTGTCGCCACTGAAATCTGATGATACAGCTTCTTCATTTGATACTTTTATAATATTTTGTAGATACGATTGGCTCGCTTTTTCGACTGTTTTTATAATATCTTCTATGTTAGTGTCTGATTCTAGCCTGTGGAAGCAATTAAAATTATAATGTAGTATACACGTTTTATATAAAATAACTTCAATAGACTGCCCTAACCAACCGTCACGAGACAACTGCAACTATCGAAGATTATTGAATTCCCGGATACACATTCTTAGATATTTTCAACATTACAACACAAAGTCTACAAATGTAGCCTAAATCAGACTTATACAACATACCGTACAGTCAAGTCCAGCACAGAAACGTTGACGATGGGAACTCTAAATGCCAGTCCAGACAGTTTATCCTTCACTCGAGGAATGATCTTGCCAAGAGCTTTGCATGCCCCAGTACTCGCTGGAATAATGTTCTGGTGAATACTCCTGTGGTCGCGCCAATGCTAGGAAGGAAAAATAGACGACGTCAGTTAGAAACTTGAAACTAATAACTAGCTGAACGGTGGATGAAACTCATCAGTATATTTCTTTTTTATTATTTTGTTTTCTAACGTTGCCCCACCCTAGACCTAGTCGTTCGACGACCGTCAACCGTACTAAACGTATTTTAAATTGAAAATTAAGTCGTGACATTGATCGTAAAAAGAAGTGTGCACTTCTGTTATTGCTTAGGAGATACAGGAACAAGAAACAAAGAAGATTTTGGGAAGATAAGATTTTGATGCGCGATGCGAATCAATTCGCAAGTTCTTGCGATGCGTAGAGGGCGCTCGCACAGTTTTGTGTACGAGCCCTATTAAGTTCATATATCGTACTGAAAGTTTGTTTATACAAAAGTTGTCTCTAAACATCGGAAATAAGGTCTATAATGGAGCTAGTGGTCACCGGTGACCGCTGGGGAATTGAACAGTTAGGGATATAAATACACGTACCATACCTGGATGATTTCTGTATATAATACGTATGTACAAGAGAGCACAGCAACAACCCACGAAAATGTAATAATAAGATGGTAACAAATAATAAAATAATGTACTTCCTTGCATATTTAGAAGCATTACATTATTAAACTCTTTATCAACTGGAACATAATTAAATTAGTATATTGAGTTATTTTTGAGTGAAGCTATTTATTAAAAACTAAGATTTTTATGTCAAATAAGGTTTATAGTGTGATGATCTAATAACTGCATGACCAACGCGATTATTATTAGTATTATAACATAACATAGCATCACGCATTTTATCCCCGTAGGGGTAGGTGCACATTGCAGCACTTAATGCCACTTTACCAATAACACCTACTTTTCACTATTTATGTGAGTCCCGTGTAATAGGCGGCGAGCCCGAGATTACAGATTTTTTTAAAAACCCAGTAATACTTTGTTGCACACGGAAATCGAACCTGAGACCCCTTGCCCGGCAGTCGCATTTGCGACAACTTGGCCAACGAGGCAGTCTTTTTAGGAGTAGGTACTTTATTTGTATACTTTTACCAATATATAGGTTTAAAAAGCTTCTAAAAGAGTTACTTAAGTACATCTGGACAAAGATCCCACTCACACGAAGGTTATTTAGTATAATCCCCATACTTGGCAAATAGCTTGGGGATCAATGTCACCAACAGTTAATTTCTAATGAAATATTCTTAATTACCCTTCCTCTCAAGCAGAGTCCATCGAGCGGCTTTAGAGAGGGAGTCATAGCATGTATGCTGGTGATAAAACCCTCGGCGACGCCATAGTTCTCCTCCAGGACCTTCACTATGGGAGCCAGGCAGTACAGCGTGCTTGATGCACATGATAGGACCTTCTGTTCTGTAATACCATTGATGACGTCATAATACGAATGAAACTTTCACTTCGTTGCGGGAACCAAGACAGTTATTCATGTCACTGGGACGCGCCAGACTTCAGTGTTCCGGTGTTTTCATGGTTGTATCTACTGTAGATCCTGGCTTACAGGAGTTGCAGCGGTTTTTAGAGGTTGTGGCGGGCTTGCCCATTAAAAAAAAACGAATGAAAACTATTATATTTCTTCGACCTAACAAAGGAGGAACTATGTACCTATTCCTTTTTTGTTAGTTAATTTAAAACTGATTTGGTTTATTTATGTTTTTTAAATGGTATTGAATGTTTAAAATAAGAATGAGAAAATAAGGTTTAACAATGACATCGAGCAAACGTTTAGCTGCTTTATTTTTTGTATTGAATTTTGTATCCTATAATAGGGCTGATATTTTCCTCTAAGGAAAAACCCCTTCTTAGTAAATAAAGATAAAAAAACGACATCGAGTTCATTTTACTACAAAAGCGCACGAGGTCTATAGTGCAGTTATTCGGGCTAACCGTTATTAAGCTTTTCGATATCAGGATTCTCTGTAACATATTTTTGTCTCCAAAATCTAATTTAGCAGTAGATTTATTCCATGGTATTTTTAGATAGTTACCTATAAATAAATGATAAAAGATTACACATCTCTGCCTATCCCTTCTTGGAATAAAAATACATAGATGTCGTTGTCAATCTCCGTGAGACCTCGCCACGCTCACCCGTACCGAGGCCGGACGATAAGCGCATCCTATCTCTAGGTCACAATGTCCCCAAACGGTAATTGAACCCACGACCCTGAGTTATGTTTGAATGTTTTTCTTCTTGCGAACCCGCCCATTGTGATATAAATATTTTTATATGATACGTCTTTAAACAATTGAAACTTTACTGAATTAGTAAATTCATATTAATTCTTAGTCTTGAAGTCGTTGAGTCTAAATAGCTTGATATGGTTTAATTTACCTGTAGATATCGTATTGTTATTGACGCCCAGGATGATCATGGGAACGTCAATACTGGGCGCAGTCACTATCACGCGCTTCACACTGTCACATGCTAGGTGACCCTGGCAGAGAGGAATAAAACATTACCAAAAGAAACTTTTTTTTATGGCATAAGTCGGTAAACGAGCAGACGGATCACCTGATGGTAAGCAATCGGTGTCGCCCATAGACACCTGGAACACTAGAGGCGGTACAAGTGCGTTACCGGCCTTTTGGAGATTAGGAGTTTGAGGATCGTTGGGGATTCAGGGATTGGGGAGATTGGGGAGGGTAATTGGGCCTCCGATAACCTCACTCACACGACGAAACAACGCAAGCGTTGCTTTACGTCGGTTTTCTGTGAGAACTAAAGAATCCTTAAAAAAACTACGTATAACTAATAGTGTTTGTGTTTGTATTCTAATTGTTTAACTCGTCGAATACCGTATTTATAGACACAATTAAAAAGAACAATAGGTTGCGGTCACCGGTGACCGCTTGGTGTTTGACAGTTTAATATGTAATTGTGAGTGGTAAGGCTAACAGGACTTTATTCGCTAGTGGCGCCACCTGGTAAATGCAAATATCGTAGGCCATAAGGCCCCATTGTCTATTGGAAAACGAGAAATATTGTGTATTGCAGTAACAAATATACTGTGTGTAATATTATTGGTATTTTTGCTCAGATAGACTTGGCATTTGTTGGCATATTAATGAAATATGAACTTTGAAAGGAACTGTGCACAACCTTCACCTACTGCTGCAAAAACCAAATGGCTAGCTGTATTATTTTTTACTATAAATATATGAATAAATAAATGGAGCGGAGTGAAGTACTATAAGTGGATAAGTGCGTCGGCAGGTAACCTACCGATGCTTTATCCAGGCTGGTGAACATTCCAGAAGCTTCGATGACATACTGCACTCCGACGGTTTGCCAGGGCACGCTCGGTGGGAACTTCTCACGGAAGACTTTGATCAACCGATCTGTGTGATGTACAGACATTATTAATTAAGTTCCTAGCAAAAGATATTCTACGAATTCATAAATGCTTAGGTTAAAAAATAGCAGAAGACATTTTTGTTGAACACAATCTATGAAATTGTCGGTTGAGTTTGAAAAAAGGTATTTTAACTATGTAACTACTACTACATATGCTCTAGAAATTCTATTGCAATTTCACTCTACGAGATTCGAGGAAGAGAAGCTGCTAAGGCCTGCAAAAAGAAACTTGCCAATAAGATTAATTTTTAAAATGCTACTTCTAAATAAAAACTTTCCGTTCGTTAGTCTCGCTTAAAACTAGAGAACGACTGAACCGATTTTGCTAATTTTAGTCTTAAAATGTTCGTGAAAGTTCAGGGAAGATTTAGACGGTGAGAAACGCGGGCCTGCGGACGGCGAGCATAGGTGGCTCCCCGTCCGATCAGAAACAGACCCGAGCGTGCGGCGCGTCGCGTTTCGCGCGCGCCTCAAAGAGCCATCAGACCACCACAGATGGGGCCCAATAGGGCCGATGCCGATTCGGAGTCGCGGAGAACCTAACGGGTAACCGGGGCTCCGGCTCGACGTGCAGGAGAAGGGACGGGGTGGTTTTCAGTCAGTAAGAGTCTGACACTCCCTTCCGCCTCATCCAGACGAAAAAAAAAGACGGTGAGAAAGCAGTCGGGTAAAAAAATTGAGGCGGTACGAAGTTTATTGTTGGTTCGTTAGTTTCCTATACTTATACTTTTATATGACTACAGCTGATGTAAGAAGACTCTAAAGGTCATACGTCGTGGTGACTATCATACAAGTATTATATGTAGTACTTATACTTAGGTCTCTTAGTCCAAGATAACATACCGCGCCTCTCATAAACTCTGACCCCGTATCAAATACATAACAAACCAATAGTTTAAAAAAGTGGGCGGTTTCTTGTCGAACAAAAACAAAGATAAAAAAAACTATGTAGGCACGTAATCGTCCAAAAATATTTAATTTTTTTATGAACAAGAAGATAGACTCATCCTTACTATAATGAAAACAATATGTTAGTTTGTCTGTACCGTCAGCCGTCACTGCGAATAAAGGTCCATTGGTATTTTATGGTATGATTTTCTCATTTTTATGTCTGGAGGAAATGTTTTTTCCTTTCACTACGCGGGTGAAGCTACACGTAACAGCTAGTCTACTACACTAATGAATCGCGATCGCATCGCGAGTATGTATCATGCACATCAGTTGACATCAGTATAATGACGAACACTAATGAATATGATTATGTAGCGATAAGAAGTAAGTGCACATAGTGTTACATAAAGGTGAGTATATGCTTATGACTTTGAATGGACACTAGGTCAGCTAGCGTTAGGTCAAAAGATTAGCTCTATCACACCTAAGTGTGCGTAGGAGGAAGCTCCCTCAAGAGAGGGCGGTGCCAAAATCCCCATACTTATTGCACAGGTTGAGATTGCTGTTAAGCGACCGAAAATTAAAAATACTGGTCTTTTCACGCCCTTAAAATAAGAAGAAAAAAGAAATTTTTTTTTCTTATTTTAAGATATTCTGCCATTAACACCCAGATACATGTGGGTGATAATAAAAAAAATATTTATAAAAGAACAAGCAAAGCAATATTTAGATTAGGGAGTAGCAAGTTCATCAGGAAATGGACCTGCACCGGAATAATAGCATTATTATCTAATTACTAATACATAACTAACTAACATAATTGAATTATTTACCATTGATTTGAACTTCATTCTCCGTATGGGTGACATTTTCCTTGAATTTTCCATGTGTGGAGTCGAATTTAATTAAATAGCAGATATATTCAATGTCGATCGCAGGATCGTTAATCGCAGCTAACTAATAAAAAAATTGTAATAAATATTGTATTAAAGTAACTACGTTCATGGGTCACTAGTAGAGAGTGAAGTAAACCCTTTTAAATAACATATTTACACATTTTAATTTCCATGTTTAGTGGTGTAAATCCCAATAAGGTTAATAAGATTATAATAGGTAGGTACCACATAGTCACAGCAAAAATGTTAGCAAAATTAGATGCACTCTTTAAATAAAAAAATAATCTTATATTCATTGATTTTTTAGGTAGTGTTATACCCAGCTATTGAATTGGTGAAAATTGCCATATGAAATCTAATTAGAGTCCTAGGCAAACAAAAATAGAAGTAGGTAATCGTTGAGAATTTTACCTCGACATCAGGATTCTGAAGGCAAGTTCTAAATATTACCCTGCCAATTCGGCCGAAACCATTTATTCCCACTTTTATAACCATTCCCGATGTGCTTGGACTGAAACATTTAAATAGATTTTGATTATATTTTGAATATTTATTTGATTGATGCGAGTTGACATTTTGAATTACGCGCTTCACCAAGATGACTGTCAATGGACCCGATAATTATAATTGATAATTTTAGATTTTTAATAAAATTGTTAAAAGTAGTCGTATATTTTTATTCATATCATTTATACAGTTAAAACAAACATTTTACATAAATTTTTAGCAATAGAAAAAATTAAAACCGGTTTTTATTTAGCGTTACCGGTAAATTATGCTGAAATCACTAGAGATGATAGGCATAGAGAAAATATAGAGTCGAGCATATAGATTATAATTAAAAGACAAGTCAATAGGTAAAATATCACCAACACAAAATTGTTATTGAAAAATATAAGAAACAGTTAAACTAAATCAATTATTAATTGAACCCAACCTTAAAAAATTCATGTGCCTATTAAACTGAAGAACTTTGATTATTATACTAAAAGTGAAACTTTACTATACAAGTTACGTTTGATTTCCTATTAATGTAGGTTGTATGTATTATAAAAGTCAGTGTGAAGATTCAAAAAGTACATTTCGCAACTCTTAAGACAGTTAACTATAGTTTACTTTAAAACAGACTACTATCATCAACGTATAGGTATCATACTTGATCGTACGTTAGCCATCTATAATTTTTATGATCTATGTTTCATTGATCTTCTGGAAATTGTCTATTATACGACGCCCGTCCTGCCTTGTCCTTCAGCTGACATTTTAAAACTCCATCTCGAGGAGAGCATACGTGGAGTTACTTAATTTACCAGTCTCTAAATAAATTAATTCCGGTAAGTACAACAATTACATGTTAATTTTATTCAAGCTACTTACATTGTCTTTACGAGCTCTTCATTAATTAGAAGCGTTGCATAATTTGCTGCGTTTATTTAACCACGTAGCAATGTATGATTACGCCGACTTATTAAACCGATTTATATTCTTAAATATTGTTAATTTATTGTTAATTACTTTAGCTAGTATACGAAGTTTTTGTACATTTTTGTAATACTACTGAATTCCTTATACATTTTATCATGTTTTGCGGTATTTGTGAGTGACCTCTACATGACCTCCATACCGGCCGGTATTCATTCGTCCTATAGTAATTGTTAGGTGATCTCATGTAACTATGAGACAAACAAATGCAATACATGTATATGCAACAGAATCAACGCTCGCTGACATTTAATTATTTATATCCCCGGCTTCCGTCTTCTGCTATTTTTAATTCGGTAACTGACCTACGTGCAAACAAACTGCTACAGCAATGCAATGTTATGTCAGTTGCATTACAGTTAAATCTAATTTTGAGTTGATAGATTCCCTCTGATATTAAATAATTATGATGAAAATAATTGTATTATGTAGTTACTGAGTGATTTAAAATACTATTTCACTGATTTTAAATATTTTTAATAATGTTTTACTACATTACTTGGGTTTTACTTTAATTTTTTCTCTGCAAGTGAAAAGCAAATAATTTAGTTTGCGAAATACCTAATTAGAAACTTTCAGTGTCCCATCGCATGACCTTGAAATGGCCTAAGGGACGCCAGTTGCGCAAGAATAATATTGCTAACATAATATATTATTACGTGGAACATTTTCATTCTTTCCTTATTTCTCTTTCCATGCGTAAGAGACTCGCATACCTAGCTGAAAATGATTCACATTAATCATTTTATTGTACCCGATTGTTGTCACGTACCTAGATAATGTCGTCGTGTCTTATACTCATATTACAACAATATTTTTTTATATTATTCTTCTATTGAAAAAAAAATTCTTTAATTAGTATTAATCTAAGTTTCTGGGAAAAATCCTTGTAGAAAACTATTTAGTGCAGACAATTTCCTTATTAACATAACATGCTTTTATAAATAATCTGAGATATTTTATTTGAATACTTATTTAACTTGTTTGTCGAGATCCAGACACACCTCCTGTACACAAGGCCAAATAAATGTCGACTAGTTTCGATTAATTTAAAAATCGATTATTACCACCAACGCAGTAATGTGATTGTAACATTGCTATTACAATTTATCAGTATTTTAACAGATTTCCGACGTTATCAGCTATGTTGAAATCGGTCCACAAACTCTTTATCAATCTTTATAGCAGCAAACACCTATTGTATGTATAATGACACGAAGCTTATAATTGACTGTATGTATTTATGTTTTTACTTTCTTCTATTACAGACATGTCCAAAATCGGTATCAACGGTTTCGGCCGCATTGGCCGTCTGGTCCTCCGTGCTGCCGTCGAGAAGGGCGCACAGGTCGTTGCCATCAACGACCCTTTCATTGGTCTTGACTACATGGTCTACCTCTTCAAGTATGACTCCACCCACGGTCGTTTCAAGGGCACCGTTGATATTCAAGACGGCTACCTTGTTGTAAACGGCAACAAGATCGCCGTCTTCTGCGAGAGGGACCCCAAGGCTATCCCATGGGGCAAGGCTGGCGCTGAATACATCGTCGAATCCACCGGTGTCTTCACAACTACAGAGAAGGCATCTGCTCACTTGGAGGGTGGTGCCAAGAAGGTCATCATCTCTGCCCCCAGTGCTGATGCTCCCATGTTCGTGGTTGGTGTCAACCTTGACGCTTACGATCCTTCCTACAAGGTCATCTCCAACGCTTCCTGCACGACCAACTGTCTCGCTCCTCTCGCCAAAGTTATCCATGACAACTTCGAGATCGTTGAAGGTCTGATGACCACCGTGCACGCCACCACCGCTACCCAGAAGACTGTTGATGGACCCTCTGGAAAATTGTGGCGTGATGGCCGTGGTGCCCAGCAGAACATCATTCCCGCCGCCACTGGCGCTGCTAAAGCCGTCGGCAAAGTCATTCCTGCTCTCAATGGAAAGCTGACTGGTATGGCTTTCCGTGTTCCTGTTGCTAACGTCTCAGTCGTCGACCTGACTGTCCGTCTTGGCAAGCCCGCCAGCTACGACGCTATCAAGCAGAAGGTCAAGGAGGCAGCCCAAGGACCCTTGAAGGGTATTCTTGACTACACTGAGGAACAGGTCGTGTCATCTGACTTCATTGGTGACAACCACTCTTCCATCTTCGATGCTGCTGCTGGTATCTCTCTGAACGACAACTTCGTCAAGCTCATCAGCTGGTATGACAACGAGTATGGCTACTCCAACCGCGTTATCGATCTCATCAAATACATCCAGACCAAGGATTAAATGTTAGATTGCATTGTAGAGATAAATGTTGTTATGAATGTTTATGAATATGATTTTGTCGACGATATCGACTTTTATAATTTAAGCTTAAGTATAGCGGTCAAGTCTAAATTATTATTTAACCACTTTGAAAGCGGTGTTATACGTGTATAATGTATCACGTTTATAAAACTATTGCAATATCGCAAATCAAATCAGTACTCAGTAAAAGTTAATAAAATTATTCCTGTTGTTTCATTTTTTTGTTACATAGACACCTGTTTAGAGAAATTAGTTACGTTTGCATACATAAGCAAAAACCAAGCTGCTTATGACCCAAAGTTACCCAAAAATATTGTTTTTGAATATAGTCTACATTCTTGGTAGGTAATTTATTATATTTGTTTATCCAATTACCTATATAAGTTTAGTTAATGATATTACATCAACAGCATGTTGTCGTCCACTGCTGGACATAGGCCTTTTTAATAGCACGCTATTGAGCTAGATCTTTAGCTCTACGCATCCAACCATTACCAGCCACTTCGTGGAAATTGTCACTCCACCTAACTGGAGGCTTACTACACACCTACACTGCGTTTACCTAGACGCGGTCTTCACTTCAAATTCAGAATACGTCCACCCCAACGGTCATCGGTTCTTCGACAAATGTGACCGGCCCACTGCCATTTCAGCTTGCTAATCATTTGGGCTACGTCCGTAACTTTAGTTCTCAGTCGGATCACCTCGTTACAGATCCTATCCTTCAGATAAACTCCAAGCATAGCTCTCTGTATAGCTCACTGCGCCACCTTAAATTGGTGGACCAGTTGCACTGTTAATGTTCACGTCTCGGCTTCGTATATTATTACTGGTAGGGTGCAATCGTTGAAGACTTTTGTCTTCAGGCTTTGTGGTAGGGTTGACGAATAGACCCAATGAATTGCCTATATGCTGCCTAGCCTAGCTGTACCCATTCTATTATGTGCCTACCCCTCGAAATTGTTTCTTACCAAACTAAAGGGTTTGTTTTTGTAAATAGATTAGAGTTTTTATATTTTGATTCTTTCACCTTTGGGCTTTATAATTCTATATTAGTCCTGTAGTGCTATTTTTACCCCTTAAAGTTGAGTAAAAGTGGTTTAATGATCACCATCCAAAAAAATAACTATAATCCACATTAGTAGTATTTAGGTGGTTTTCAATTAATTTATTTATTTCAAAATGTTTCGATGAATTATGTATGTATGTTTTCCTTCTTAGTAACAAAGCGAATTACTTTCCTAAATATAATAAATACACAATTATTTCATATATCTCCAAAGAATTTAAATCCACTAACACTAAATTACTATCAACTACCGATTGGAGAGTTACTCTAAAATCGGTTTCTGAACGTGAAACAGAGCTCCACTCTAAATATCTTAATGGCCGCATTAGGCAGCTGTCTGTCAGTGACATTTGGTTTGCTTCGTGTAAATTTTGTGATGTACAAGTTTCGAATCCGTCTATTTATCAATGAATATGGTGTACATTAATAGATAATGGTTGTTTATGTTGCCTATTTAATATTTAACTAAAGACACTGTGTAGAAATCCATAATATTGTTATTTTATTACTATAATGGAGGATCTCAATTTGACAGAAACCGAAATGAGATATTTCGGTGATTTGTTTTTATGTTGTGACGAAGAATCCAATGGGAAAATACCAATATTAAAAGCAACAGAATTATTTCGTTCGTCAAATGTACACAACGATGTCCTAAAACAGGTAAGTAGTGGTATAGGTTAGAGTATGATAACATATTTTGTGAATGAGTGATTATGAACACTAATTATACGTTACAGATCATGGATATAAGCGTTGCTCCTAATAACTGTGCGTCACTGAGTCATATGAACAGAAAACAATTTTATTCAGCACTGAAACTAATAGCAGCCCATCAGACAAATATGACAGTGAAGCCTGATCTGTTGTCAACTCCTTTGGACTTGCCTCTGCCGAGGTTTACATGGGCACTAAACTCCGAGGCGAACGCTGACCTGATACAATTATCTAATTCCCCCCATGAACACCAACTCCACCTGAGTAAAAGAGAAAGAAACTTTGGTGGAACACTTGGTGCATATGAGCCTATAAGACTGTCATCAAACTTGTCTGATAGCGATGTCCCTCAGGCCCTGTCTCACGATACTACTGAAGGACTTAGTACAGACTCGGAAATTGAATCTGAAACCCTGTCACAGAGATCTGGATCCCGTGGGGTGAGTTTCTTGTCTAATAACTTAGTATATTTTAATTAAAATTAGAAGATTTCTCTATGAGCAGTATGTTGTTCCATACCTAAGGTCGGGTTTACATAAAAGTCTTATTTAGTTAAATCTGCAACACAACAATATTTTTCTTTCACCAACAAACTTACACTCTTCATATACAGACTTATCTTACTAATAGATGTTATAGATACGAAAATTACCGAGTTTGTGTGCATATATTAACTTATATCCAATCTCTTCAGTAGTTTTGACATAATTGTGTGAGAGAAGAGATCGGGATGAAATTTAGTACAGAGGTAGATTATTATCTGGAATAACACATAGGCTACTTTTTGTCTTACAAGAATGCGGTAGATGCTGCTGGCAGAAGATAGTCACCAATACGTTAATATTAAAAGACCCACTTATCCAATTCACATTTGTGAACCACAATTGCCACCATTAAAGCATAGTTAGTGTTGTAATAAGATTTTGATTGATACATTAAGGCTTCAACAAGATAACACAAGTTTAAACATTAGGTAGAAGTTTTATCAGTCAGGTTAACAACCGACTAATAGTGTACCAGTGCAGGTTGATAAGAAAACTGTTCTGTTTGTGTTCTGTTCGTTAGGTCAGGTATTTTTAAATAATTATTTTAGTTGATAACATTATGCTTGTTATTTTCCGAAGAGGTTTGTCGGGATGTAATTAGTGTACTTTGTTGTACATATCCCCTATTTATTATTCTAGACTATAACCTGACTATAATATCTGTACCGAATTTACAGAATTTTTCAATAGTTTTTGCATAAAGGAGTAATAATTATTCATATCTAGAAACATGCATTCTAACAAACTATTGCATTGTACTTAGTGAGTCATTAGTAAGGTGTAACGTTATTTAGAGAATGAGCCTATTGCCAAATGCTGCACAATTTTAGATTCTATTATACTGAGAATTGATAAAATTACTGTTAGAGGTGAAAAATACTAATTATTTCTACGTCTCTAGTCTCTCGCCTACTACAGGTTATGTATTATACCAAGCATGATGCTTATAAGTATTACATGGTCATTTACATTTGTCATGTTTCTGTGGTTTTATTCATTCAATATTTATAATAATTATAGCTGCATTATGAGATATTTTATTTGACAGTGAATAACTGTCTTTATATAAATATCTATTCCGATAATAATTACAAACTAAAAATTGTATTTATTAAGACATTGACATCAATAAGTTATCAGATCCTTGGAAATCAGTCACATAATCTTATCCATTTGTTTTAGAACTTAAATAATGTTCCCTGATGGTTTTTCTAGATTAAATTGTACCAAAAATTGTTATAACTTTTTTGTTTCTGTAAAAGTTCTAATATTAGAGTTTGATGTGAAGCTTTGCCGATATTACTAATATAAAAAGCATTTCCTAAGTGTGGTTTCCGGCTTATCTGCATGCCAAATAAATTCTTTCATGCCAAAAAATTTGAAACAACTCTTGCTTTGCTGTAAAATAAACATGAATTCAAAGATATATTTTTTTTAAGTTGACTCATTAGAATTTAACTTACAAAATATACTTAAACTGTCAAACACCAAGCAGTCACCGGTGACCGCAACCTATTCTTCTTTGATTGTGTCTATAAAACCGGTACTCGACGAGTTAACTGTGCATACTACATTAATTTTTGTGCATTTCCTAAGCATTTCTAAGACTAAAATCGAAGTGATATTTTGAATACCTGTGTCATTAGTTAACTATCTAGTTTTCACTGTATTTGTCTGTCAAAGTTTTCTAACGGAAATACCAATTTTATTATCCTTATCCAATCAGTAAGCAGTTACGAAATTAGTCATTGTGGTCTTTAGTAAATATGTTCATGATATACAAGATTAGAATATATTTATAAATGAAAATGAATGAATAATAGCTATAACATAAACAATATTTCATTTAGCCCGGGAAATGGGAAATATGTTAAAATTAACGGTATTTACGTATTATTTGCTATTTATGACAATAGAGGTTGATAAATGTTTCCTTGGATAGTGTTACTAAAGGAAGTTCAATACCAATAAGTGAGTTTTTATCCAATTAAAAATACTTATTTTCCTTTTGATACCAAAATATAGGTAGATGGTGGCCCTTTGAGTACCGTCATTATAGACACAATTAAAGAACAATAGGTTGCGGTCACCGGTGTCCTCGCGGTGTTTGACAGTTTAAATGGGCGTTAACTGTAAGAAAATGTGGTTTTCTATAGTACCTATAAACATTTCGTGAATTAATTCACCGATAACAGAGATTGCAAATCTAAAAAGGTACACTATCTCTGCCTTTGTGTAAAAGCTTTTTCCCAAGGATTCACTCGCATACATATATTTATATACATTTTATCTATGAATTCAATATTACATCATTTTTACACCACCATATATATCCAATTCCCTTTCCCGCGCCATGAAAAGAACAGTTAACCCATTTTCGAACTTAAAAAAAACCCTATGGCGTTTGCCTGTACGGTCAGCACTCAAAACTACTGCACGGATTTTTATGCAATTGTAACCAGTGGGTAAGTGTCACGGGCGACAACGAAAGTGAAAAGCTAGTTAGAAAAAAAATGTTAGTAGTTATTGACAAGGCCTTCTATTGTATGAAACGTCACGCCTGTCTCCCATTGGGGTAGGCAGAGACAGTGGAATGCCAAATGATACGATACTGGTATAGGTCTTTTGGATCTTTAATTCACGCTCGTCGGTTGGTGGTTGTTATAATTGCATAACATTTAAACGAAAAGTTTGTGTTACATCTAATAAGTGCACCTGTATCTCCATTTTAAGGAGGTAAGTCATCAAATGGGGTTACGTTAACTTCAGCATCACCGTCATCATGTCTGCCTCAAGACCTCTTCTGCTGAACATATGGCTCCCCCAATGACTTCTAGATTGACGCCCAAGACTTAGGCGTTAACTTATGCACTTGAGAGAATGAAAAATGCTTGATGTTTCTTGCTCGTTCTTCTTCATTCGAAACTAGACTTTAGAACGAGCGCCTAGATTCAATAGTGCCTAATTAATGATTAATTGAAATAAATGCTTTGACTTTGATTTTATTTACGTTTTTATGTCTATGGTGACAAGGTCGTTTTCTAAGACGTAGTACGAATACGCCATAGTCGCCAGTACACATTTAGTGAGCATTCGACCTTGCACGTGTGCTGTTAATTTGCTGATACATATTCATTATTATATAAGCCTATGTCTAAGTATGTGTACTAGTTTTTTTCAAGTACAAATTTGTTTGTTTTCGTTTTAAATGTTAACCGTTTATGGAGCTGTTAGTCACAGCCGGTGTTTTACTTTTAATTCAAGTACTCGCCATAAAGGTATACCTCAGGCCTTAGTACGAGTTTGTTTCACGTTTAAAGTAATCGAAACGAGACCGCGTTCGTTCTGATTGGTTGGTTCATTGGAGCCGGCCAATCATAGGCCTTAGTACGAATTTGTAGTAGATGTAGGTTACAGTTTACACCTATTATTCGATAGCTCAGTCATTGAGCTCTTTGGACCTAAATGTGCTGTTAATAACGGTTTTAAAATAAAATACCTGAATTTTACTTTACTTGTCAATCTAATGGCAAGAAGGCTTAGCTGTTGATTATAAAAGTACGAGTTTGTCTTAGTACGAGTTTGTTTCACGTTTAAAGTAATCGTTACGACACCGCGTTCGTTCTGATTGGTTGATTAATTGGAGCCGGCCAATCAGAGGCCTTAGTACGAGTTTCTTTTACGTTTAAAGTAATCGAAACGAGACCGCGTCCAGCGCTCTGATTGGTTGGTTCATTGGTGCCGGCCAATCAGAGGCCTTAGTACGAGTTTGTTTCACGTTTAAAGTAATCGAAACGAGACCGCGTTCGGCACTCTGATTGGCCGACTGTTTTATTTTGTGGATAGATGTTGGATACAGGTTACATATACCTAAATGTGTTGTTAATAACGGTTTTAAAGTAAACTACCTGAATTACACTTTGCTCAAGCGATTGCAATATAAAGGCAAGAAGGCTTAGCTGTTGATTATAAAAGTAATGAAATTAGTGATTCAGGGGAAATCCCGTAAACTGCAATGTTTTCCTTGTTTTTGTTGTAGACTTTAGTTAGCTTCCTTGTTCAGTCACACCTCGCTGTCTTTTATTAAAGTTACCTATAACGTCTCTTTATACTAGCACAAACGACTAGTTTAAGACGTCCTATAATATATTTATTCCCTCTGTGTTTAGAAGAGTATTGCAAGATGATAACACTATGAAATATCGTCACTATCACTATACCTTAGTTTATAAAGAAAGATATACAAATTCACTTTAAAAAAGATCGGTTGTTCAGACACTGCAGCATATCTAATTACCCCAACTAGACTTAATAGATTTACAACTTTATCATTATGTATTTAAAGTCCAAAACACGGAAAAGAACCAGTCAATTTGTACATTAATTTGTCATCTTTCAATCCACTAACTATATAAATAAATAAAATTGAAGTGTCTGTTTGTAATATTAAAATAACCGCATTTTACTACATGCATATGATACACATAATAAAATAACATTTTTTAGAATGTTTGTCTGTCTGTCTGTTTGTCTCTCTGTTTGTACTTGCTAATCTCTGGAATGACTGGACCGATATTGACAGGACTTGTATTGGCAGGTAGCTAATGTCCTAAGGAGTGTCGTAGGCTACTTTTATTTTAGAAAATTGAATCATAAAAAATGTTATGTCCTGAAAGTCATATTCTACGCGGACGAATTCGCGGGCAATTCACACAATTGGGCAAAAAACTAGTAACTAAATATATTTGTTGTATATTACAGAGAAGAGTCGGGAAGAATGGCTCCCCTTGGAGTACGGCAAGCGAGAGTCCCACTCCGACGAACAGCGTGGCTGAGAGAGTACATCCTGTGTGGGAACATAGCGCCACTGGTCGAGGGGTGTGGCCTGCTAACACTGGAGAAGAACACACGAGACTACTTGGTGAGATAAACCATCTTTTATATAACTTATCAATTAAAGATTTACGATGATGATTTTAAGACATTGGTAGCCGTTTTTTTTTTATTTAAAAAACGTTGTCCCACATTAGGATTTTCTCCTGTGTCGTAGGTGCGTTTACAAACATACAAATTCACATACACAATGACACCCAGACCCGAAACAACAGTTTGTGGATCACACAAAGTGTTGTTTCGTGCGGGAATCGAACCCGCGACACGTTGCACGGCGGCCGGTTGCCCAGCCACCGCACCAACCGTGCAGTCAAAAGTTTTTATCAACCAACTCATAACTAATAATCATTTAGCGTGACGTGGTCCCTAAACGAACTCCTTACTTGTTTTTTTAAGTGTCACTTATAGATTGTTGAAAAACACAATGTCGTTAGATAGATGTCACCTATGTTAGCTTAAATTAATATAGGAGGGGTAATGAAAACGGACATTAGAGTATTTGCATTTCGTTTCTTGCTCTTATTATTATTACTTGGGCTCAGTACAATTTGTTTTAATGTATTCATTTTCCATTCATAATTGGCCAGTTTCCTAGGCTAAAAATAAATTGTTTCAACTTTTCAATGCAATAAATAATTAAGAAATAATCACACTCTCATCCATTGATTTGACAATTTGCCTACTTTTGGATTTTTTCTCACTAATTTTAAGGAAATAAGAATGCTATTTGATGCAGAAATATTATGACGTCATAAGTTGCGATCCAATACAAAATTCATAGATCATACCTGTCAACTACCGTATTTCCATTGTATGTGTATCAACGGTAATTTTATTATATACTAATTCAAAATAACTTTATTGCCTTCAATGATGATGATCGTCAAAAAACAACTATTTATCTATTACTAGCTTTTACCCGCGGCTTTGCTCACGTCACAAAAGGATAAAAAGTAGCCTATGTGACATATACCAATACACACAGCGCCATCTATACCAATACTGTTGTTTTCCCTCGGGAATATCACATTTTTCCGGGATAAAAAGTACCCTATTATTTAATCCGGACTTCTAACTTTACGTCTGTAAAAATTCAAAGCAATCGGTTTAGTTGTTACGGCGTGAAAGCGGAACAAACAAACAAACTCACTTTCCGATTTATAATATTAGTAAGGATTTGGTTCAAATTCAAATCCCAGGGTATATCATGTTCAGCTATGTACTTTAAACCACCATACCAATTAAGCAATAAAAGCATTATTTAAAATCAATTGGTTGATTACTAAAGTGTTCACAGTATCGCATACAAAACACCGACATTGTTAGTTTCATTCGAATAAAGTGCTTCTATCGAACGAAATCAAAGAGTCTCGTATGCTAGTAATTGGCACTCAATTCACACCATATAAACTAGAACAACCAATGCTTGCAGTTCCCTCTCTGATACTTGAAAATTAAACCATACGCTCATGCCAATTTGATATTACGAGCATAGAGAATAAGGGTGGTTTTCGTATTATTATTGTTGTATTTTATGTTGGTTAGGGACTTGTCCCACTGCTGGCGGGAAAGAGACTTTTTTTTTAACGCGGGAAAATCATCGAATGACTGCTCCCGCCTAGGTGAGGCGGAAGGGAGTGTCAGACTCTTACTGACTAAAAACCACCCCGTTCCTTCTCCTGCACGTCAAGCCGGAGCCCCGGTTACCCGTTAGGTTCTCCGCGACGCGGGAAAGAGACTAAGCCATTTATTAAAGAGCTATTTTGCTAGTTTTATCACTAACGCTGACGTATGTTAGAGTATTCTAACATCACTGAATTTTAAGTCGCGCTTAATTATAGTTCTGTCTCTACACATTCTTTGTAAAATGACAGGGATGGCACGATATTTAAGTATGTACAACTTAAGAGTAGCCTTTCAGTATTCGGGCGAAAGACACAAGCATTACATGGGACTCAATATAAAATAGTGAAAAGTGGGTGTTACATTGTACAATACACTTCTGCCTACCCTTCGGGGATAAAAGGCGTGATGTTATGTTACATACTTACATGTTACAACTCGTAGCTAATTTCCATTCCTACCCGTTTCTCGCAAATCGCTAACAGTAGAACAGTGACCTTATCTCACAATATAGCATCTGGCTTAAGGGGCACGTGGCTCCGTGAATAATGGTCGCGTAGTTGGAGCAATTTGTGAATTTGTCGCGATCAGTACTGAATGAGAACCCTTCGTACATCGGCATGATTGTTAAACTGCCGTCTCGATTGGTCGCATGTAGGTACCTATATTATGATATTAGGTAGTTCTGATTCTTCAGTTGCTAGAAGTCTGACTGTTGTGATCAAAGGATTCACTTTATAATTAATTGATTGAATATTAAAGTAATCAATATTTTTATTAGGCATTTCATTTAAAACTACTACAGATACCACAATAAAACTATTCTTACGACTATGTCTTACGCTAACTAAATCATTCAGCGCAATTCATTTATCTTAATTTATTTAAAGTACAGAAAATTGAAAAGAAAAGCACACTTTCCTACCCTACTAAACACATAACTATCTACTAAGACATAACTACAGAAATATTACTTATTTATTTATAATTCATGGAGGACTTACAGCTTATAAAAATGGATAAAAATCACAATAGGCGTAGGTAACAATGAGCCAATAACAAGTCCTCACGTTTATGATTTGGAATAAATTAATTAATATGGTGTGAGTACTATACAATATTAAAAATACATACATTCTGCATAAATGAGAAAAATAAATATTGAAACAGACCGTACAGACAATATGATTATAAACAGATCAAGAGAAACGATAAAAAGAACTAAATAACTAGTGCTGCTTAAAAAATTTCTAAAACTTACCAAAAAGTGTAGCATACGACATACATACATTGGATTCCACGTGGTCATAGTATATCGTGGTACTACAAATATCTGCAATTGACCTTAATTACTTACATTTTCGCATTTCGGCACTAGTTAAAACTAATAGGCTTTTTCATAGTTCAATGAGTCATTATACCTTTTAAATGTCCGAGCACACCAGACATCATGTGACTTGGCCGTTTTTTATCAAGGTACTTGGAACTTGGTATAATACGACTTTTTTTCTTTATCCAGACATCTCATAAATGTCTTTTGTGACAAGAAGTTGTATGCTACTAGCTTAAATCCTTCTTCCTTTAATCTTTCCTTTTCTCTTCCTTTAATCTTAAACCTATCATACCCGTAACCGGTAACCGGGGCTCCGGCTCGACATGCAGGAGTAGGAACGGGGTGGTTTTTAGTCAGTAAGAGTCTGACAAATTTTGTATGATTATTGCTAACAGGTCGGGTCAACATATAGGCTACATATTATTACGCTATCACCTACGGGGTAAGCGCAGTAAATAACTATTCCACGCGAACGAAGTCGCGGGCACAGCTAGTTATTTTATAAAACACAGTAGGTATGTTAATTCAAGATTAAAACTTCGTGGCATACCTTCAGAATCTAAACTAAGAAATGTGTAGATGTCACGCATGAAATTCACACGCAGACCCTTGAAGTAAAGCTAGGAATTCGTTTAGGCTTGTAGATAAAATTGTTCATTCCCTAGAGACCTTAATATTAGGTTTTACTTTTTATTACGAAGGGCTACTACACCTTAAACCTAGTGTTATTTGTTGTTTAATGTTACTAAACTAAATATTTAAAAAGTGTAACATTTCTGATAGTGGTTTGTCGTAATGTTCACAGGAACGGAAGAGGAGTCCTCAGACCGTCATTCGTCTGAAGAAGAGGGCGATGGAGTAGACGACATCTGGGCCATCAGCGACGCGCAGGCGCGACACTACGCTGGACAGTTCGCGCAGCTGCGGCCCGAGCGAGGCATGCTGTCTGGACAAACTGCTAGGTAACTAACCTTTCAACAAAAATAGGTTACAACTATTGTTAGATAACTTTGAAATGATTATTAATAATGATTGTTATCTTCAGGTTATTTTTCGAAAAATCGCACCTACCTGTACCCGACTTGCGAAAAATATGGCAACTATCAGACATCAACAAGGATGGCATGCTAACACTGGAGGAGTTCAGCATAGCGATGCACCTGATAGTGCTGAGGCGGAACAACATCCCGGTGCCCGATGTACTACCTGCGTGCCTCGTGCCCAGGGTGGACTCACGGTACTCCAAGCAGGCCGTCACCACCGACCTCGTGGACCTCGGCGCCGACATGTTCAGCTCCGGTACTTCCGCAGATTTCAACTTCGCACCCAAACCCGAAACGCACGACCCTTACGACGCGACAAAGGTGACTAAGAAACTTGAAGAGCGACAGCCCTCCCTGACCCCGCCGAAAATTGAAGGGCAAGTGAACAACAAGGAGTGGACCAAGTTCGTAGACTCCCCCACCTCTAGTGTATCCAGCCCGGGACCTAAACCTGTCAACTTTGATTTTCACAAGTCTGCGGTGGAGCGAGACCCTAAGATCTTCCACCCAGTGGCCGTGCGCGTCACTCCTGACGGTAACTCGCTGCCAGCGCATGGCGAAGGGGACACGCGGTCTAGCACGTCGCCACGTCGCGATGACTTCGCGCACGCCTTCGAGCTGGCCAGCCCCAAGCGACTCCACGCCGCACCTCCCGCCGAACCACCGCCCAATGGCGCTGAGATCAAGTCTATCCAACGACCACAGCCTCGCAAGCCACTGAAGGCAGCCGGTGCACTGCCCCCGCCACCCGCACGAGACACCTCGCACGATGACGGGCCGCAGTCCCTCCAGTTTGCCCCCAAGAAGGAGCCCCCGCCGCCCCCTCCCCCGCGTCCCCTGCGCAACCACGCGCGCTCCAGCTCGCTGGACCTGACGCGGCTGAAGGCGCCGGCCCCTCCACCAGCCCCGCCACCGCGGTCCTCGCCTCCCGGCGCAGAGCGGCGGTTGGCGGCGCAGCGCAGCGAGGGCGAGGCGTCGGTAGGGTCTGGGTTCCCGCCGGACCCGCTGGAGAGCGAGGCGCCGGTGATGCACGGCGCGTTCGAGGTGTACCGGCGCGGGCGCGGGTCGCCGGCGGCGGCGGCGGACGTGCGCGCGCTGCAGGAGCAGAACGCCGTGCTGCACCGCGTGTGCCGCGCGCTGTGCGCCGAGCTGGCCGACGTCACGCGCGACCGCGAGGCGCTGCGCCTGCGCCTCGACAACTCCACGTCCCAGCTCTAGTCCCCGCTCGCTGCTCGTAATCTCTCGCTGTCCCTGGCGTATGACGTAGTATTGTCCCGGCGCCGTGCCGGTATGTCGCCCCCGCGTCACTAACTCGTTGGACTCGCCCCTCGCGTTGTACTCCGCTTGCGCTGTGCCCCGACGCTAAACATATTTAAACGTACGTTTTGTGGAATATTTAACGTTAGCCGTAGTGTCGCGCAGTATATTTTTTGTGCCTTTTTACAGTTTTGAGCATAAGGGGTCCATTTATATTTTATTTCTAGAGGCTATTTTCAATTTTACTACATTATTTACAATGCAGCCGCAGTATTTAACTTGTTTATACTAATTTCCGTAGTCTCAGTAGCATTTAATGTTATTTGGTCACAATATATCATTTTGCATGCATGTAGTTTATTGTATTGTATATAATAAAATATTAACAGACGTCACTCAATATATTACCAGAGCTAGTAATGTTGAAGACTTATTAGAGTTAGGGCGAACTACTTCGGGCACATCTAACAAACCAATAAGGGACTGTCATACTGAAATAGAACCTCTGCACTAAAACATAAGATTTCCTTCGAAAAGTAAAACAAGTGTATAGTGTCGTTTTGTATTTACATTACAACTTGTGATCAATTTTCGAATCAATGATAAGTACCAAAAATATGATTTAAATGGTTGATTGAAATTGTCAGTAATTTAGTGTTTTCTAAGAAATATTATAGAGTTGATGTATTATTCAGCGGTTGTGCATGCTTACTCACTTCGTCAATGTCGATACTGATCTACGAGGTTTGGTTTGAAAGAGATAAATTCTCACATAACAGAATAATTCCAATTTGTTTCCTTACAAACATGTTTTGGAACGTGTAACTCGGCGAAAGGCTAAATATAATAAGATTGAATAATACATTTTGTATGTGTTAACGATATTTTTTGTAATAAAAATTAATATACAGAAAATTATATTCGTTACGAGGCCAAATACTTGTGAATCTATAAGATTCGTAGTTTCCAAATTGTCTAATTTTTGTTTTGTATTCGTATTCGTACCGTGGCATTTATAATTTTCATAGTTTACGTTTGTACAATATTAGAAATTAGTTGTAACGCGAACATGTTACTGCAGGGTGGCGCTAGTGTTGCTTGTTTAGCATTCCTTAATATAATTTGCTTTGTCATCGTTGTAAGTGTAAAATTCCATCAGACGGAGGGAGTATTTGTTAAAATTTTGTGAATGTTGTATTATACATTAGCTTAGCGAATGTAAAAATGTCAAGAGGTAAGAACTATTGGGAAAGACGATGTACAAGACTTGTGAAGTATGAAGAGTACATAAGATTGTTATATGTAAGTAAGTTTAGTCGCACGGCCCCGCGGCCGCCGCAGATGTTATAAACTATCAGATTACAATATTAGCAACTGAATATGTGTTGAAATAAAACTTGTATTATAATAAGATTATTGTAAAAGTATTTATCTTTCATTTTAGTCGTAACTGTAAGTATATGGTCCTCAGTTGCAGCATCGCAGTGTAAATATTTTATTATCCTCAGAGATACGTCTGTCGAACGCTTTATACATTATAACCCCACTGATCTACATTTTGGTCCAATTTTTGTACTACTAATAATGTTCACCATTATACCTACTATTATATTTACCTATTTATTTATGTTTCATATAAATTTATACCGTAATGCTTAAATACAATGTAGTAAATTATGTACAATAAATTTATTTCAAAATTTTATTAGTATTTGTATTTAAACAGTAGTTCATTGAATAACTAGTTTAGCAGTCAATGTCTTAATATTCAGTAGGTACTTGTTGAAATACTTTTAAATGCATGGTCTCTATCAGTCACCAGTCACCGTGAGGGCAATGACATTACATTTGCAATTTTTACTAGTTATTTTTTCTTGTTTGTTAGTCAATTTACACATTTATAAATGCAGTCATATAATATCAATATACACTTCACATAGATAATGTTAAATTTGTAATCAGAAACTCGACATTCATTACCATATTCTATGCATAAGTTTCAAAAAAGTTTGGATATATTTTCCTGTTGTCTGTTGATTTATGACTAGTAGCAATACCTTATCAAAACAACATCGCTGCATTCCGAGATCGAATACATAATATTAACGATTTCATTTAAAATTAGGATCCAATTTTAGCTATCTAATTTAATCAGTTTTCATATCAACCGTGCCATATCATACCTAGTTATCGAAAAATCGATAGGTAGTGTAGTATATAAATGAAACCGCATCACTATTTGAAATCTACCCTCAGTGATAAGGTGCGGAGTTGATAAGGTGCGCGGCGTGGACAGTCGTACGCGGACACCCGACTGCAGACGTATGCGGCTGCGGCTGCTCCCGCCATTTCTCTCCCTTTCCCGCGGCTACACTGTAGCGCATACCTACGGACCTTTTTTTGTTATGGTGTCCCCTCGCCCCGCGCGCCCCGCCTCGCTCCTCCAAACATACACCGTCTTGAGACGCGACTCGGGGCGCACGCACGCACTCCGCGCGGCCGACACTCTCGCGCGTAAACATTCTCGACTACAATGACATCTTTGATGTAACGCGCCGGATACATCTCTGCAACATGAAGTGCATCGTGGCTGTTGTTATTGTGACCCTAGTGACCGGAGCCGCCGCCGAGGCCTCCGTGCGGACATGTGAACCTATTAAAGTGGCGATGTGTAAGAACATTGGATACAATCAGACCGGCATGCCCAACCTGGCGCGGCATACCCTGCAGGCGGACGCCGACGTGACGCTGCAGACCTTCAGCCCACTCGTGCAGTACGGGTGCTCCTCTCAGTTGCATCTGTTCCTCTGCTCGGTGTACGTGCCGATGTGTACCGACAAAGTGGCGCTGCCCATCGGGCCCTGCAGAGGACTTTGCGAGAGTGTGTACACCAGATGTTACCCTGTACTCCATGGCTTCGGCTTCCTTTGGCCACCTGAGTTGGATTGTTCTTTATTCCCTGCTGAGAATAATCACGAACACATGTGCATGGAAGGACCGGGAGAACGTGCACCACCAATTGGCACTGTTTCTATGGATATGGGTAATTCAGGCGGCCGAGGAGCTTGTCGAAGACTTATAAAACCTAAGAATTGGGTGTGGGTCCGAGGATCAGCCCGTTGCGCACAGTTCTGTGATGCAGAAGTACTATGGGATGGTGGAGAAAGAAAAGCAGCAGAAGTTTGGTTAGCTACGTGGGCAGCTTTAAGCTTCGCTTGTACCCTGGCTGCTGTGGGAGCTCAGCTAGCGTGTGGGGATCGTGGTGGGGCCGGGGAGCGCGCGCTGGTGCTGGTGGCGCTGTGCCGCTGCGCCGCGGCCGCGGGCTGGGGCGTGCGCGCCGCGGCTGGCAGGGCGGCTGCCGGCTGTGCCAAGGACTCCACCTCCCCCACGCGCATGTTACTGGCACACGATGGATTAGCTAACCCTAATTGTGCTGTTGTCTTCCTCCTGCTGTATTACTTCGGTCTCGCTGCATCTGTTTGGTAAGTTTATTTACATTTTACGGATTGTTTCTTATTAGGTACTTACTTCTACTTAATTATGACGTTATCTTAAAAGCAAGACACTCAACACATACGTAATCTCATAACGAAATTATATTACATGACACTGACCCACGAAAAATATTCAATGCACAAATTGTTAAAGTTTAACAACCTCGTAATAAAAATAATGTAGGCACACTAATTGGTACCCGTATAAAATTGGCAAGAACCTTGCGAAGCCAGTACCTGCGCACATCAGACTTAACAAGCCGTCGTTGAGAAAAAAATTGCAACAATTGACGCCTTCGAACAGGATGGACAATGGATTTCTTGTGTTCGGAATCGGGTACCTGTCCTCATTGTCCCGTACCCGGGCCGAACGTTAACTTTGTCACCGATCAATTATGTTTCGTCACTTGTTGTGTTATAATGTTCTCTAATCTGTCGCTGCTTTGACAAATAACTTCAATACAATACCGAGGATTTCTCCTTACATAGATCGATTTTCGTCTTTTGTAGCAAGAATTCAACGAGCTCCAACTCTTTTACAGTTCTCTCATTGTAATACAAAATCTGAAATTTATCATTGTTTGTAGTCGGACTCGGAGAGCTTGCACAAAGCTATTTTAATTTGAATAGAGCTAACAGAGTTCAAAATCCTGTGCTCGGTGGTATGCTTATTGTTTTCTTAGTCATAAGTCATGCATTGAAACGGTTAGAAACAAATGGTACTTGCTCTTTGTCTAGTTCCTAATAGATGCTGCCGTTACGAAGTCACTTAACTTCTTGAACAAGACAAATACTCGGTTCAATACTTCATCGGATCGTTAACGATGGTTCTGTAATATCCGGACTTCTATTAGTACCTGTATAAGTCTATGTATATATTTACCAAGTACTTATTGTGCATCAAAATAGACGTTTCTAGTAGGAAATACGTAGAACCTTACATAGGAATGTACTTCTCCAAGTATTTTTATTGGGACGTTTTATCATGTCTAAGGTACGTTTAGTCTCGTCGTTAACTAAAGCCAAATAAACTAACTACTAAACTTAATCATCCCACTAAGAATGGACGTAAGAATTCCATTTTTCAATTTAAAATAACAGTCAGAAGATAAATCACCAACATTTCGTTGTAAAACTATTTCCTTGGAGAACGATAGGGGGAACATCGAGGCTGTAAACTAAAACGAATTGGGAAATAAAATAAACGAGGACCAATAAATCACGGAGAGGCGAAGACGGTGCCGGTGGGAGCGACGAAACACGGCTCGTGTACGTGCGCCCGCGCTGCAAGTTTAACGCACCTTCACCTTACTTTGTTACATACACAGTTCAAAGATGGACGGACATCAACACGCATGTAACTTTATTAAACTAAATCTAATTTTGGCCTGTACAAAATTAGAACTGGATAGGTAATCATATTTTATACTCCGGCCTATAATGAGACAATTAGGACTAAGAATAGATTTCCCATTCGTTCCCTCGTATAAAGTGACATTTTTACAGCATAGGAAATGATTTACCGCCGTCTTCCACAAAAAATAATAAGACGCAGCTGTAAAACGTTCACGTGGTTGTAACAAAATACATTTTGTTGACGAGGACACAGAAAAACTAGCCCTGTTCAGTCTACAAACCAAACACTCGGTTGACTTTCAAATATAAATCTTATATTGTAACAGTAGGACTCAATATGGGTGCAACAAAGTGTTGTTAAATCTGAAGCGACATGGTGGTGCGGTAAAAACTCGCCGACTTGCATTTCTACATAAATATTGGTTTAACTACCCATACAGCAGTTGCGATCCAATGATTGGTATCTGAGAAATATTGGCAATCAAACTTCTTTGCGGCAAACATTAAACATTCTGTGCTGCTAGCTTTTTGTTGCGGCTATCCATAGACTGGGGTATTTGTAATTTGTATTTGTATCGGTTACCGTAAAAAATGTTGAGCAGCGCAGCCAGTAGTTGGTTAAATTACAAAAACGACACGCTATAAAGATCCCGATGGGTTTGTAAGCGAAAAATACTGCTGCCACAGATTTACCAATTAAAAAGAAATGCCTGCCGAGGAACATATTCCCGCCATTCCAGAAATGCGTTTTGTTCTTGCTTGCGAAACCAATGCGCTAATGAAGACATTTTTTGAAATCATAACACGTTTAAGAAAGTTCAACTTGATTCTTTAAATACTTTACTTATTATGTTATTAACAATAGTTTGACTTTCCTGAACGAATTTCTGCTTTTCCATTTTGCTACGCTAGGGTTGTTACTTCGGTGAAATGTATAATTTTTAACCGTCTTTTGAAGTCTTTACTAGTTTGACTTTCTTAAATATAATCTAATGAATGAATGGCAATTAATATTTCACCTGTTTCTATGACATAATTTTAAAAAGAGAACGTTATTTCAGACCGATAATTTATTTTTTTTAATATTAATACCTTTCCCATTAGGTACTGTAACTAGACGTCACAAAAAACGTAGATATTGAAACGTAATATAGGCGCCATATTTATTTTTACCAATTAAGAGCGTGCTTGAATTTGTCGATGTTTTTTTATAGTTTAATACCAACCGTTTTAGTATTAATTAAGAGAGCTTGACATTTTGAAGAGCTGACATTCAAGTACCTAGCAATGGGCCATGTGTACTTTGATTACAGTAAGGGTCCTAAGTACGCCATTTTGTGTTCTGAAGTGGGTTATTTACTACTTAAACTAAAATATTACCGCATTCTGTGTAACTTTGAGTAGGTAATTAGCAATAAAGATAATGACTAATTTAAACACCGATTTCTAACAACGATGATTCTCGTCAAACTTCAACGTGAGCTTTTAATTATATTTTACCGTTACCTACTACTCATCTACTGAGGTAATGACATTAAGTTGTACAGTCTAACACTGCAATTCAACATTTCATTAGAGAATCAAGTTTAAAGGAAAGAGGAATAGTCAGCAAATACCTATTTGTTTTTAATACTACGCCATTTTGCGATCTAAGCAGTAAAATATTTGTTAAATGTACAAATTCTGACTTTATAGGGTTATTAAACTTGTAATTACCGGCTTTATGAACATGAACATTTAGTTAATGTTTTTGCGAGGTTGATGCCACAAACATTTTCTTAGGATCCCTCTTGATATATTAGATTATTTTAGGCTTTATGTTCTTATGTAGATTTCCAAGATGGTAGATAGGTCTTATAATAAGAAATATTACTGCCCTTTGGAAGAAACGACGTGTTATCCTGGTTTCATCAGATTACAAAAAGCTATTTATTTGCTTCATCGTCAACCTTAAATCAAACAGATCACACACCCACGTTTACGAGTAAAATCTTGATGCAATCACGGCCCGACTAACTAGGTTTGTTTCTGTGAAATTTAATGCATTATAGCGTCATAAATCACCGATTTAAAAGGTAAACTAATCGTCACCTACGCCAAATTTCGAGGCATTAGTGTGGTGTGGATATAACTATTTCAACACGAAGCTCGTTCACATCACACACATTGGTATTATGAGGAGGACACACACCCGTAACAGTTGTAAATCTCGGTTTATAGCGGGCATTATTAATTTCGTAGAAAGCCACAATTTCGGTACAAAACTGACTCGTTATGATAATTTCCCTGTGATTTATACGACGTCGGTGTTCTTTGAATGTTTCTAATGTTAATCCTGAACGCGTTTTAGTGAGAAAATATTGATACATAGTCGAGGAAATATAAATAGCTGGAGTCATTGCAATGTTTCAAGTTACGCCCGTTTCTTGTTGAAGGCGTAGGCTGGAGTGAATAGAACTTCCTTACGTCACAACATAATAACTGATTACTTTAATACTTAGAGATGAAACATTTACGATTATAGATCCATAAAACGAGTTTAGATTCAAACATCTAGGTACTTTAAAATTAAGAACTTTATCGTGAGAAGCCAAACATTTGGAAGACGTTGCAAGGCCAACGCAGTTGCAGTATTTAAGTTAGCAGATACGTCGCGATAAGATCGAGAAATATTGAAAATTGTAAGCTTGTCTGTTATCAGGCCATGCGATCAATCACCTTGGTGTAATCCGAGCCTTATTCATTCACTGATATTACTTTCGTCTTTATTTTATACATATAAACATTATAATAATTAAAGAAACAAATTAATTAGGTATAAAAATTATTGATTGCGATCTCGTACTTGGTTTTCGTAACAACTTAAGTATATCGCGTCCGGGAGAAATAAGTACCTATTAGTTATACTATTTAACAATGACCGTTCTATGTTTAATTTTTTTTTTATATTGGGCTTGTTACGTTGTAGCTTCACGGCATGTGTGCCTATTAAGTCCAGTACCCTTGCCTCAATGGCCTAGTACCACAATTGCCTAGGGCCGCCAATAACAATCGGGCTCAACTGTTAACCGTTCAGTAACAATATGCGTATCCAGTCGCAGCGCCAGTTACACCATCAATTACAAGCAGTTATCGCGTTTTATTGACACATGAAAGATGCCGGTTTAATTGTTTGCACCGTACGTGAGCATGCTCGATTCTGAGCCTCTTGCCTCTAAACTAGGCCTATTAACATAATAACAGATCGCTCAGCGCGGAACTAGTTAGTCGAGCGACTCCGGCGCATACTGTGGTCGCTGTGTAATGAGAAACGTCAAATTGGTTTTGTATTCATGCGCTGGGAGCGGTGAGCTTGTGGATGGAGCCCGTTACCATTTGTTCACGTCCAGACGTCCACTGAATGTTTGAACTCTATAGTTTCTTTTCTTTAGTCTATACTAATATTATAAAGAGGAAAGATTTGTATTTTTGTATTTTTGTATGTTTGTAATGAATAAACTCAAAAACTACTGAACCGATTGCAATAATTTTTTCACCATTCGAAAGCTGCATTATTCAGAAGTAACATAGGCTATATAATATCACGCTAGGTCCTATAGTTGTGGAGCAGTAACCAAAAATGTTTTAAAAAC